CTTAAATTAACGAAGATAATCACGGGCTCGTCCCGGGGAACAATAGCTCGTGAAAGCGATCCATGAAGGTTTGCCGGAGCGGGAACATCGATTGGAGGTCATTAAGGGGGATGCCTGATGATGATGATGATGATGATGATGATGACTTTCTTCGGGTGCAGTGGTCGGTGAAGCGGAGAACGAGACCATACGTAAACGTTGTTGTTGTGCACTGGTCGTAAATATTTAATACACTGCCAATAAAAAAAAGACGTGGAATTATTATTTGTATATCGTTGTGTAATGTAATTCGCGTTTATTTTACTATCAATTCCACATATTGGAAACTTCTCTTTCAAGCGGATTTTTGAAGAAGAAGAAAAAAAAAATTTACAATTGATGATAAGAGACTTTTTTCCGAGTTAATACTCGGAACGGGTTTCACACAACAGGTGTCTGGTTCCTTTCAATTTCGATTCGAGTGTTGTTGTCGGTTCCTATCTCGTTACTTTTTTCCTTCTTTTAACTCTGGTTAATTTTGTTTGAAAATACAATTCTGAGATAAATATCAGAATTTTCTTGTTCGATTCGCTTGTTGTTGGAAACGTTCTCATTTTCGAATACGCACTCTCTCGAAACGTGCGTTGATCCGCAAGGTCACCGATTGATAATGGAGGAGGCGCAGGTACAACGAACCTTTTAAACCTTACTTCCTGACGCGCCTTGTTTAACGAAATAATCGTGTGGAAAGTTGAACAACTACTGTTCCCAATTTCCATAGCGGTTGGCTCCATTCGATGATTTAAATGGCACGTTTAAACGAAGCAACAATACTTTGTTATAATATAACTTAACTTACGTGGACCTTGAAAGAGAATTGGAAGAATCATCAAGTTAAATTCTATGATTATAATTTTAAATTAATAGTCTAAAACATACATTGTCCATTACCTTTTTCTTTACAAATTTCGATGTTAATATAATAATAAATTTGTTATAATTATCGATAATGAAATTGTACGTAATATTCGTGATTAATTTTCTTCAATAATTGCTCTCGAAATAATTAAATTGGGAAGTAAAGGGGAAATTGTATAATTCGTACGCGCTTTAACGCTAAACCTACCGACATTTCACGTTATACCTATTCCTGAGAACCGTCAAATGACCGCTGCAAAAAAAAAACATTTGTATCTTAATAGAAAGAGATTTTAGTTAATTGGATATTAAACAAAATATTTTTCTGGCGCACACAATAATCCACACCGAATTTTGTGTAAAGTCATATGGCGATACAGTAACTTTGTATAAGAAAGAGAAATTCTAAAGGAAATTTCAAAAACGGTCATTTGACCGCGCGTGGTAGGTTTAGTGTTGAAAAGAAGCAATCGTTGGCAGTAAGTTTATTACACGCGAAAATATTAAGGCAAGAACTCGAGAGCTTTCATCAGACTTCCGACGCGTAATCACGGATAAACGCTTCAACAATAAATAATTAAACGATAATACTTGAGAATGGTAACAGTAGCCGATCTTCTATCGTTTTGTTTGTATCCTTTCACGCTTATCTTCGTTTTATCAGCGACTTCTTCTCCTGTGCATGAACCGCGCAGATAATTCGTACAGCCAGTCGCAAAAATTCTTCCCTTGCCGGTACAAATTTTCGTTGAAATATCTATATTTACAAAATTTTCACGTTCGATCCATCAAAATTTCGTACTCCAAATAGTTTTTCCTTGCCTTTAAAATTCCTGTATAAAAATTACCACGAAAAGAAAGAAATCCTCGATCTTAAGAATAAAGAAATAAGAAAGAATCGTTCAATCAAGAAGACGGATTAGAATTATACTTTCGACTGTGGATACGTTTATTCGTGCACGTAGGCCCGATACGCGAGGAGGAGAGTCGGATGCATCCTCCACGACGTCATCTCTTTGTCTCCTATTACTAAATCGCTCGTTTGGTATACCGCGACAAGACGCAAATGAGACGATGGATAAATTAGAAGTGGCTGGCGACCCCTTAATTAACAGAAACAACAGAGCATCCTCGTATGAAATATGCGCGCGTTAATTGACACAAAGCGAACGAGGAGGGATCTCGGTGGGATTAATGCAAATGTCAAATGATGGGGTATTTTCACTTAACGAACGAAACGTTTCGTCTCGTGGATGGATACGCGGTCAATGATTGAAAAGAGAGTACGATGATTTCGAGACGATGATTTTAAAAACCACCTTTCTGAAATGGGGTAGATCGAGTGGAACGATAGATGGAAATTGTTACTTACTGTGGAAATCGAATGAGAAAATGAAAATTTGATAGCTTAACAAATCAATCTGATATTCGAAATTGTCGTTTATTGTATCGAGTGAATTTTCGTAGTTTAATAATTCCTCTTTTTAAGCCTTGCAATTACAAGCGCGTGTATGTCGATAAAGATCAAATTCTTTTTCGAGAGATGCGATGCAATAATCTGTGGATAAAATTTTTTTAAAAATATTTCATAATTCCGTTCGCTAAAACAGGACTCATCCGAGAGTCATCGATGTCGACAGGTTTGTGCAGCCTCATTATCATAGAACATGTCAAAAAAGAGGGGGAAAAAGAAAAGAAGAGTACGGTTCGGGCATTGTTCTAACGCACCATCGATATATTTCATTTCAGAGTCCTGGAACGCTGCACAAAGATGTCGGTGGTGCTGGTACCAAGGTCAGCGGAAAGACGGTCGGCGGTGTCGGCACTGCAACCCTTACCACGCTCTCTTCCATTAATAATACATCCAATACCAGCCGGAACAAGAACAATCCCGTATCTCAAGAGGTGAGTCGAATAGATCGTGTAATTTTTAGATGGACGCCGCCATATTTTCACAATTTTCATCTTCCCCTCCGAATCGATTTTGACATCGATTTTATATATTGAACTATTCGAAATTTCAACATTTTCAGATTTACGATTTTAATATATCATAAAAAGATATATCCATGGAAAGATCGATCGATCGATCGATGATTCCGAATGAATTTTTATGATTTAATTTTTAATTTAAAAAGTTGAATATTTTCTTTGCTATCTTTTTAATAATTTATTCATGATATAATCGTTGCTAAACGATATCGAGTATAAATTATTCGATATAGAGAGGCCGTGGTTTTAATTGCAATACGTGATCGAAATACACAATGGCATAATTCTGAATGGTATCTTACATAATGTCAGACGATATATGCCGATCAAATGTGAATAGATACGTTATTAAATACCAATACATTATTCGATATCTCGTTAAATACCAAATATTATCAGATATTGAAAAGGCGTCGCTTTAATTGGACGATGCTACGCATGCACAAAACACGCATCTTCTCGTTTAAGTGTTTAAGAGTTATCGACCCTTTCTAAGAGAGCATTTTACGTATGATGGATCTATCGAGTAATTGTGCCTTGACAATTAAATTTATGACTGCATTTGGTGAACGTCCGTGTTACTAATTGCATTTCCTGCTTTCCACCTTTTCTTTTTCTTCCTTCTCTCGATATCGTTGAAAGATTTACCTCAATTTTCTATTCTCTATTAAATTTAATCAGATTTATCGATTCCCACTCGCTCGTTCCTTCGGAACTTTGTCAAAGGTATACACGTCGCAATTGTTGCACACTGGTGAGAGCACAAATGCTGGTATTAAATACACTTACGCGTAAATGCGGTTATTAAAATTGATTGGCCATGAAAAAGTCGAGAGAGTTGTACAAGTAGAAGCACGATTAATCATCTTAATCAGGAGACAGACAGCCCATATACGTATATATAAATAATGGTAACTTAAAAATGGTAATTTTATTACATCATTGTTAACGTAAACAAATACGAATCGTGTCGAGCTCTAATTCTTCCTTTTTTTTTTTGTGATCGTGAAAGCGTTGCACAACTTTCCAACCTTCTCTAATAACCGAATGTTTTTTTTTTTTTTTATTATATTCCTCGTGACACAGTTTCTTCACAGGTAAAAGCCTCTCTCTCTCTCTCTCCTCCCCCGCCCCTACTTTACTTCGACC